TATACTTTGGTGGTCATAAAGAACACTGTGCTAAATACCGTAACAGCTTAATCTTTGTGTATTTCCCTACACACTTAGTGCGGACTTAAAATGGCTAGGTAAAAGAATATTTTTAGGTCCAAGAAAATTTATAATTATACTCCTAGACACTCCTGATTTTTCTTTTCAATCTTTTCCATTTTAAATATTCACTAATCATTAACAGCCCTTCACTGAAACAAAGCAGATGTGTTAAGTATATATTTAGTCCTTTCTCCAAAGTATAATGAATCTACCATTATTTCACTATCATAGGGACTAATTTTTTCATTTTTGTAGAAAATACAAAAGATTTCTGAAAAATATTCTGTGGAACAAGGCACAGCTTTTAGTGATTAGAAACTCTTACTGCTAAGACACTTCTCTGGTGAACACTTCTTGTTCTGTGTAATATCTAGGCCTTCCCTAATCCCTTTCTTCTTGTGCTATTTGCACAGTTTAATCACTAGGGACCAGAAAGGGAAGAATAGTAGGTCCTTTCTCTTGTATTTCATTCATCACGGCTTCTGCTTCCAAGTTCAAAAAGAAAGCTCTGAGGAGTGAGGGAGGGCACTGAACTTTGTCAAAACTTTGCAACTCTGACAGCCTATCCTCCAGTGCTGCTGTGACCTGAAGAACAGAAAAACTGAGGGAATGAGGAAACTAAAGGGGCAAGAGAGAAACAAGGAAAAGTTTGTTGTAGTGGATTTAGTTTCTCAAATTAGGGAAATTTCACTTCTGATGTTCACAAACAACACTATTCATTGTATAGCAAATCAATGCTTGCCTAAGATCCTTTTCTCATTTTGTCCTCTATTCTTTTTTTTTGAGACAGGGTTTCTCTGTAGCCACAGCTGACCTGGAACTCACTATGTAGACCAGGTTGGCCTTGATCTCACAGAAACTCCCCTGCCTTTGCCTCCCAAGTGTTGGAACTAAAGGTGTGCGCCATCACACCAGGCTCTCATTTTATTCTTCACTATTCAATTCTAGGCCAAATAACAAAGTGACTACAGTGATAAAATGTTAAAGAGTCCATGATTCTATGCATACCATACTACTACCGTTAGGAAATATGAGATTGTTTCCAATCTAAACAGCACCACCCTACAATTCACTTATAAGAGTCTAGGAAACTAGGAATTTCAATAAATAATACAGTATCACAAACACTTTCACCAGTTTCTTGCCCAAAACAAGAAAATTACACATTTTTCTTTGCATGAAAAAAATCTCACCTATCAATCTCTTCAAGTTTTTCATCTATCATTGGACTCATCTGTTGGCAGATATCTATAAACACAAAATTAATTACAAATACAGAAACTTAATGCAGCTTCATTCAATTTCAATCATCTTTAATGAATATCAATATGCACCATCATACAAAATACACAGAAAATTAAGTTTATGCTGGGGCAATTATATTTATCTTTAATGCTATTTACCAACTTTATTACTTTATACTTCTATCATGTGACCAAAGGCAAGGTCAAAAAAAAAATCTCAACATGACTCTGGAGCTATTAACGATGTTTATAGGCTCTGACATGTAGAGCTACTCCAAAGTCTGAAAAGAACCTAAAGAACTAATAGCTAAATAAAGCAACCCTGATCGACAGTTCATAGAATATGTGAACATGGGCACATTTACTATAACATTTTCATTTATTTAAGACTTTTAAAAATGTACACTGGTGGGATGGCTTAGCAGTTAAGAACACTGGTTATTCTTGCAGAAGACCCAGGTTCGAATCCCAGCACCCACATGGCAGCTAACAACTGTCTGTAACTCCAGTCCCAGGGGATCCAGCAGCCTCTTCTGTCCTCCAAGGGCATTGCACGACATGGGTGCATTTACCTACATGCAGGCAATACACTCATACACATAAAATAAAAAATAATAAATAAAATATTTTTTTAAAAAAAGCAGACTGGAGAGATGGCTCAGTGGGTAAAGGACAAGTTCAACCCGAGTTGAAACCCCAGGCCCCATGTAAAGGTAGTAGGAAAGAACTAATTCCACAAAGTCATCCTCTAACCACCACATGTGTATCAGGGCACGCACTGTCTCTCACACACACGCACACACACACACACACACAAACACACCCCTCCACATGCACTGTTACACACACACACACACACACACACACACACACACACACAATTTTCAAAAAGGTACACATTTTAGCCAGATGCATGCTTTTAATTCCAGTACCCAGGAGGTGGAGGCAGATCTCTGTGAGATTGAGGCCAGCCTGGTCTACCTAAAAAAAAAAAAAAAAAAGTCCCCCAACAAAAAAAAACAAAAAAAAAAAAAAAAAAAAGTATACATTTTACATATTTCCAAATATAAAAACATATATAATGGGAAAATTGTCCTATATGCATAATCAGGTTTTCTTCTGTAAAGAGACAGGACTTGTCTACTTACCATATCTATTTATCCTATCTTTCACTCAAAAAATTTTTGTTTGATTTTGTTTTTGTGTTTTTTTGAAAGGATCTCACTCTACAGCCTAGAATGGCCTTGAAATCATGGCAGTCCTCCTGCCTCAGCCTCCGTTCTGCTGGAATTATAAACATAATCCACTATGCCCAGTTCCCTGAAAGATCCTTTTGTTTGTTTAGTTTTGGCATAAACCAAGCTTACTGGGGGAAAAAAGTTACTTATTTATTTTTATTTTATGTGTATGAGTGTATTGCCTGAGTGTATGTAAGTACACCCATGTTGTGCAATGCCCACAGAGGACAGAGACAACGTTGGATCCCCTGGAACTGGAGTTATGAATGGTTGTTAACTACCATGTGGGTGCTGGGAACCCAACCCAGGTCCTCTGGAAGAGCAGCCAGAGTGCTCTTAACTGCTAAGCCATCTCTCTAGCCTCACTTTTATTTTTTTAAACTGAAAATCTCTTTAGCCAATTTCACCAGCAATCTTATAGAAGTACAAGGACTGCCTTCTTGAAAAGCATACAGGGGTGTGACAATGCCTTCAAGTGATACTTACATTATTTTATTGTACCAGCGTATTCTGTCTCAGAATTTCAAATTTCAAAAGGCAAACACAAGGCAGAAAAAAACTGAAGATATTATAAACAGCCAATATGTTAAGTAAGGTTAAGGTAACCTCTTATAGTAACTAAATTACCTTCTAAGTCCAAGAGGTCTTGGGAGTCTAGTTCTGAGTCTGTTGGATCTATACTCTGGAGTACCTGCAGGGCTCTGTCCATTTTACTCTAAAAATAACAGGAGACACTAAAAAGTTTATTTTTAATTTTAGTAAGTAGAAAATTACTCTTTCCAGGCATTCTCAAGGATAACACATTTAAAAAGTCTTGATAGTTTCTTAAATAAAAAGACTGTACCTCATCTATATAAACAGGCTCAGGCTCTGATTTCTTAGTTTCTTCTACTTCATCATCAGTTACATTGTCCACAGTTGCTATGGAAACAAAGTAAGCTTAAAATTTTTCAACACTTACTTTGGTAATTTACCATTAATTTCTAAGTGGCCCATGATTATCCATACGGGAAAAATGGGAACTTTTAATCATCCCACTTCATAATCATACATCACACACAGTCATTTGCTCAGGTCACAATCACTCAACACTTAGAGCATGCCATACATCCTTCTAGGTACTTCCAAACACATCAGAGAATAAACAGACAAAAATCTCTGCTCATAGAACTTACATTCTAGTGGGAAAAGCGAGCAGCATTAACGGGCACTGTCACTGTAACTACTTCCCTGAAACCTGAGTGTTACTACTGGGGTGAGTAAGACGTAGAAAACGAATTTTGGTGTCTTGTTTACACTATTTAGTTTCTGTCTCAAGTTCCTAGGGCCAAATCAAGGTGGGGTAAAATCTAAAGCTTAAGAGTACTCCCAAGGCCTGTCATCGTACTTGGCACTTGCTGATCAGGGGCCATGTGGCACCCCACCTTCACAACTATGGCTTAGTAGTGAGCAAAAACATTTTCTGTACAGAGCAGATACAAAAGTGCTCCCGAAACTATAGAATTAAGTTGATTTAAATTCTTATTTTAAATACATGGTCACTATACAAATTAACACTCAAAGGATTTAAAACATAAGGCAAGAGTTCTGGGACTGACAAGAGAGAAATTAATTCTTTAATCTAGTTAAAAAGGTTAAACTGCAGTGTCTATAAATTTATGATTCAAAACCACAGTTAAATACCAATCTACTCTTAAATATCAATAATAAAATTCAAGTGAAAAGAACTAATAGATATAGGCTTCTCAGAAGTTTTTAAAACGTACCTGCCTCAGACTCTATGTTTAAATTAGTTGTTACAAAATTTGAAGGGAAGAGTCCTATTCCTCTGTGATTTTCCCCTTTCCACCAGTTGGCATCACTGCAAACAGAGTAAAAAAGTCATTTGTTACTTGTCTTTGTGTATTAATGTTAAGAGGAAAGTACAAACTACATCTACCCTACTTTTCAACTGTACTTTACATGTAGCTCTACTTGTTTTCTTAGCCAGGAATGGTGGCACACGCCTGTTTTCCCATTAGTGGGAAAGCAGAGACAATTGTTCTTTCTTCAATTTAATGAAAAGATTAAAAGTACAAGTAAAATCTATACCCTCATGTCTAAATTTTGAGCCCATTATCTGTGACTAAATTGCAACCCTACATATTCATCTTTCTATACAACCAGCATAAAGCTGAAAAATAGCTTTCCTGATCATCTCTTTTTTATTCTTTCATATCTCTCTATATATCCAACTAGATAGACACTTGCAGGCATATGTTAATCCATAGAGCTTTTTTTTTTTTTTTTTTTTTCTGTCTTTTTTGAGACAGGATCTTCTTGTAGCCTCAGCTGTCCTGGAATTCACTATGTAGACCAGGCTGGCCTCGAACTCACAAAGATCCACTTGCCTCTGCCTCCAAGTCCATAGAGCTTTTTAAATTTTGTACATTAACACTTTCAAAATCTCCCTGTCCCTTCTCAAATTCTATCATAAATATACACCATTCCTCATTTCTATACAAATTAACTTTTAAGCTATTTCCAGTCTCTCATTATTATAAAGACTGTAGTAATCATTTTGGATTAGAAGGCCCATATGTAACAATTTCTCTAGGTTTATTCAAGACATTCACCTGCAAGCTGCAAGTATGCCTATAGGCCTTACTACTTGGAAAGGATCACTTGATGCAGAAGTTCATGGCCACTCTGGACATAACAGTAAAGCCCCACAAACAAACAAACAAACGAACAAACAAACAAAATCACTGGACTTGCTGGGCCATGAGCTAAAAGCATGTTCAATTTTACAGATATTGCCAAAAGTCCATTAGAAAGACTGTGGAAGGTCACTTTCCTTCTCCCCAGAAGCATGTGAGGAAGTCATTTTTCTCCACTCATGATAACTGTCCAAGCCTATCTGTGATACCAGAAAGGAGGGGAGTCCCATTTCACTGCAATCATTTCCATGCTCCAAGCATCCACTCTGAAGTGTTGGGAGCTATTTACACTGCCTCTTCCATAAAGGATTTGTTCCTATCTTTCTTTGCCCGTTTATCTTTTCCCACTGGGTCATAGGTATTTTTCCATGGATTGTAGTTCTTTATATATTGAGATGGCAACTGCTTGTCTGAATTAAGAAAACTGCTCCTCCAAGGCTGCCATCTGCCTTTTAGCATATGCTTATATTTTCTTTCTCCATGAAAGACTTAGCAATCTTTCCTCTTAGATCTTATACGTTTATCTATCTTTGAATTCCTTGAATATCCCTTGAATTCTAAATCCATTCTCTATACACCTGTTTAACAGTTTTAGGTTTCCTGTTTCATCACCCATGTTAGGTATTTAATTCATCTGGAACGAAACTGCAAATCAAACTTCATTTTATTTATACTACATGAAGAGCTATTCAACCCAACGAACTTTACTGAATAGTTCAACTTAAAATACCCTAATTTATAACCCAGGAGTGGTGGCAAATGCCTTTAGTTCCAAGCAGAGGCAGGCAATCTCTGTGAGATCGAGGTGGGCCTGGTCTCCACAGTAGCTGGGGCTACAGGAAGACCCTGACTCAAAAAGAAAAGAAAAAAAAAAAAAAGAAAGAAAACAAAACAAACCGTACTTTATGTTACCCTAACTTTCAAACTGCAAGCTGCTATCTTCAAAAGCCTATTTCAGCATTCTAGTCCGTGGCAGCAGTCAACAGAGTATACCACCACTATTTGTATTTCTACTTCCCTTGGCTTCAGTTATTTGTAGCCAATCATGGTCCAAAACTATTAAAATAAAAATGCCAGAAGTCAGCAATCCCTACATTTTAAATTACAAGCCATCCTTCCCAGGAAGTGAATCATCTCTGTCCACATCCACGCTGAAACTGCTGCTCTCCTGCAGTCATTTAGCAGTGGCCACCCTGATTATCTAACTGTTGTGGGATCACAGGACTTGTACACAGTTGTTATTTTATTTAATAATAGTCTTAATAGTCTTTTCTTTTAATAATAGTCTTTACTGAATAATAAGCACAATGCTTGCACAATTCTGGTGTATTAGGAAGAAATCATAAAGTGCCTTCCTTAAATAAAAGTAAAACATCTTGACTTCATAAGCAAAGGAGGGGGAGGGATCATACGCTGATGGTGCTAAGATCTACAGCACAATAAGATTATGTGGAGACCACAATCATATAACTTTTATTTATAGGATTTATCATTATCTGTTGTTGATATCTTACTGTACTTTCTTTATAAATTTAACTTCATCAAAGGTATTCATGAATATGTACAGTTTTCAGGCACCCATTTCTAGGGTCTTGGAACATACCCCCTCTGGATAAGGGGACCACTATATTAATACTTGCTTATGATAGCTAATGTTATTCCTTGACACACAGCAGAGAAAGTGTTCATGTTATTTCTTCCAATTTTTATTTATTAATTTTTATTTAATGTGTATCAGTGTTTTGCCTACATGTATGCAAGTGCACTGTGTTGTGCAATGCCTATGGAGGCCAGAAGAGGGTATCAGATCCCTTGGAAATAGAGCTAGAAATGGTTGTTAGCTGCCATACAGGGATGGAAACCAAACCTGGGTCCTCTATAAAAGCAGCCAGTGCTCTTAACTCCTAAGCCATTTCTCCAGCCCCCTTGTGTTATTTCTGTTCACTTACTGTATATCTTCACAATTCTATATAACTATTAAAATGCTTTTCAAGTTCTCTGGGGGAAAAAAAATTTGTAGGGATTTTAATTGAAAAACAGTGAGCTTATGCAATATGAGGAAAACTGAATATTTAGAATATGAAGGTTTACTGTATCTCTCCACTTGTATGCTTATAAACATATGTATGTTTATAAACACACACACACACACATTCTGTCTTAGTTGTCAAAGAATTCTATAATTTCTCCATAAAGGCCTTCCATATCTTTGAAGGTTTACTCATTCCTAGATCACTTATGCAATTTCTGTTAGTACTGAGAATAACATTGCTTCTCTTACATTTTCTAAATGTATAGTGAGAAGTGATATTATACAGAGAGTCCCTACAGGGAGCTCAAAGCAGAGGAGGTTTAAAAGGCTCCTCAGAGGATGTAGAGTTGAACAGTGTTACAGTGTTCTCTATAAGCTCATGACTAAATGCTTGGTCTGCAGTTGGTGTCATTATTTTGGAATAGTGAAATAGTTGAGATGGAGGTTGAGATGGAGGAAGTAGGCCATGGGATTAAGTCCTTGGAAGCGTATTACTTCTGGTCACTTCCTGTCTCACTTTCTGCTTCCCAGTGGGTGATGAAGTAAACAGCTGTCCTCTGCCGCACATTCTCTGTCCTGATCATGTTCACACATCATGTTCTGATCAAATCTATGGAGCCAAGCCAACCATGGAGTGAATCCTCTGAAATCCTAAGCCAAAACAAATCTTTCCTCACTTGTTTCTGTCATGTATTTGGTTACAACAAAGAGAGAAGTAACTAAAACAGTTAAATTTTGAAGAGTAAGTCATTGCCAGGAAGAAATGGAAATTAGGCTGTGGAAACAAAAATGATATTTACCTTCAGCCATTATGGATAAGTAAAAAAAATAAACAAAATAGGTAATTACATAAAGGCACTTGCTGCCAAGCCTGACAAGCCGAGTTCAATCCCTGGGACCTATATGGTTAGGAGAGAACCACTCCTTTAAGTTTCCCTCTGACACACATGCCATGGCACACTCACATACACACACACAAAATCAATCAATCAATCAATCAATCAATCAATCAATCAAATCAATCAATCAATGGTAGTTTTAGAATTAAAAATAAAGGAAAATTTGAGCCTTTCTTTTAAGCTATGGACTCTTTAACAAAAACAATTCCCCTGATAAGTTTTACAGTAGCAATAGCAAAAGGAAAGCAATGCCCTTTATGGGTAAAATCATCAAGTAAGAAAACTGCTATTCCTACTATGATCACACAAACAGTAAACCCAGAAATTTTATTGATATTGTTGAAATGAGTTTCTTAAAGCATCTTTTTTATTTTTATTTTTGGTTTATTTGGTTATTGAGACAGAGTCTCCCTATGGCCCTAGGTAGCCTAGAACTTGCTATGTAGACTAGGTTCCATCTCAAAGAGATCCACCTACCTCTGTCTTCCAAGTGTTGAAATTAAAGGCATGAATCACCACACCTCACTCCTTTTTTATTTTTTAAGTTGCCCTTCCCTTCTCATGTTCGGACTCCTTTTCAAACCTCTCTTGAAAAAAAAAGGGGGAGGGGAAGGCTGGAGAGATGGCTCAGCGGTTAAGAACACTGGCTGTTGTTTCAGAAGACACAGGTTTGGTCCCCAGTATCCACATGGCAGCTAATAAGCAAGTATGCATAATTCTAGTTCCAGAGGATCCAATGCCCTCTTCTGGCCTCCGTGGGCAGGAAGTGCACTTAATGAACGCAGGCAAGTCACTCATATACATAAAGAATAAGTAAAATTTTTCAAAAAGCTCCTTTTCTAAGTGCTGTCTTTTGGCAGTTTTCTAGGTACAGATTCAAATGTGCAATCCTATAGAGCTCTCATCAGAACAGGGCATTTTTGAAACTTTTAAGAATTATGCCTGATGATTTTAAGCATGTACACTAAGAATATAAGAAATTGTGAGACAAAATTAAAGAAGAAAGAAAGTAGGGGCTGGAGAGATGGCTCAGTAGTTAAGAACCCTGGCTGTTCCTGCAGAAGACCCGGGTTCAAATCCCAGGACCCACATGGCAGCTAACAACTATCTGTAATTCCAGTTCCAGGAGATCTGACAGCCGCTTCTGACCTCCACGGGCATTGCATGACACAGTGCATTTACCTACATGCAGGCAATACACGCATACACATAAAATAAAAATAATAAATATTTTTTAAAAAGATTCCTTACTAATAAAGAATTTTTGGTATATCTGATAATAATAAATGTATGTTTTCTATCAGCTCAGTGTTTCTTGAACTGAGATTAGAGAATTACTTTTTTTTTTCTATTTTTGTGGTATTGGGGATTGTATCCAATACCTCTCACTAGCTAGGCAAGCATTTTGAGGCAAGGCCGCTCATTCATTTACCCATTTACCCTTGAACTCATTTAGTAACCCTGACAGGCCTTGAACTTGGGATTCTTGTCTTAGCTTCCTGAGTAGCATAGATTACCAGCCCCTGCCACCAGCACCTGCAAAAATGGTCTACTTCATTTTAGTTTCTATTTTACACATAGGAGTGTTAATGCCTGCATGGGTAAGTGCACCCATGTAATGCAATGCCTGCAGAGATCAGAAGAGGTCTCTGGATCCCCTGGAACTGGAGTTACAGACAGTTTTAACTGCCACATGGGTGCTGGGATTCGAACCTGGGTTTTCTGCAAGAGTAGCCAGTACTCTTAACCACTAAGCCAACTCTCCAAGCCCAAAAATGGTCTATTTTTTAAAAACTTCAAAGTTCTATATGTAATAATTTTATGCTTTTAATTTCACAGCAATCTAAAAATAATGAAAGTCTTTTTTTTTCTTAGATCATGTGGCTAGATGATTTCCTTTATTCTTTTCTTTCCTTTATAATTTGAGATTTTTGAGAAAGAGTCTCACTTTTAGTCCAGGCTGGCCTCAAACTCTTGGCAATCCTGACTCAGCTTCCTAAATTCTAGGATTACAAATATGAGTTTTCTC